TCTTAAGCCTAATGACAGGAAGTCTCTTACTTGCATTTGTCTACCACAACAGCAACAAGCAGAGAACATATTCTTCACAGCTTTGAATACGATCACTGGCTTTGAGTGCTGGAAACCACACAGATCCTGTGTGGGCAAATACAAGCTGGTAGGAGCAGAAAACCTAATCCAAGGTAGTCACACTTTGAAATTTTCTTTGAATAGATGTGAGGAGGTGAGATTTTAAGTAAAGTCACTTGTCACTACTATTTTGCAAACCACAGGGATCTCAGAACTCTCCTCTCTACGTAGCAAAGTGAATCTAGATTGTCATCAATGATATTCTCAGTAGGCTGGCTGCAGAAGGTGAATTTAGATTTTGTTATATTATAATACGGTATGTGTAAGAAACAGACTTACAGAGGCATGTCATGGAACTGTCCTAGAAAGAAGTGCATTAGATGTGATGCCAGGTCTTGACAAGGGTAAGGAGTGAATTTCTGCAAGTATCAGTGGCAGATCCCTTGTTCCTTCCTTGCAACAACAAAACAGGTGTCCTGGTTTTAGCTGGGACAGTGTTAGCTCTTCTTTTTAGTAGCTAGAAGAGCTCCGTGTTTTGGTTTTACTCAGAGGCTCCTCTGAGAAGAATGCTGACAGCGCACTGATGTTTGTAGTTGGCACTGAGGTCTCAAGGACCTTTCAGCTTGCCGTGTTCTTGCCAGTGTGCAGGAGCACAACAGGATAAGGGGGGAGCATGGCCAGGACAAGGAGTCCACGACTCTCCTTACAATTTGTACTTGAACTTAAGATTGAGGGCCAAACTGGCCAATTGGTATTCCATATCATGCAGTGTCATGCCCAGTATAAGAGTGAGGGTCAGCCGGAAAGAAGGGCTTTTGCCCTTCCAGGACTCTCACTTTCCGGCTTTCAGAGTGTTTTCTCTTTCTCTCGCTCTCTGTCTTGGGGCCTCCCGTTCATCCGGGATCACGGTATCGAGTTTTATCCATTTTGGGATTGCAGTTTTGGAACGAGACAGGCCTCGGTCAAGGGGTGGTGAGCAATTACATCGTACATCACTCGTTTGCATATGTTTATCCTCATACATATCTGTGTTTATATATATATTGGTAGCGGTAGTAGTAAATTGTTCTTATCTCAACCCACGTGTCTCTTTTCTTTTTCCTCTTTGATTCTCTCCCTCATCCCTGGGGGTGGGGGAGGGTGAGAGAGGGACTGTGTAGGGTTTAGTTGCCGGAGCGGCCTAACTCACGATACAGGAGACTTGTTTTCATCTTCTTGACATTGTTTCCTCCCACAGGAAAACCAGTACACCATCCACTGTCTCACATTCATTGCAGTGACTACTTGCAAAGCATCCCAGTGAGTCCAGCAGTACTGTTGTATGCATTCGCATACCATACTTCCCTGAGTACAGAGTCCTTGTTTCCTCTCTAGGGAGCATAGTGCATGGAGTTCCCTCAGGGTGGGACCTTGCCTAGCACTCTGCTCTGTTATGGTCACAGAGCATGCTGGACACACAAGTCCTCAGAGCAGCTTTAAGCTTTGCTAGTACATACACCATTACCAAGATGTGATGCTGTGATGCTGTCTATCCCCATCCCTGAGTGAGAAGCAACTGTGCATCAGCTGCCTTGTCTTGTGCCAGGCAGGGCAGCTGAGCAGGCAGTCTACTCACTCCCAGCCTCTCATCTGAGTGAACAGAGATGTGCCCACTTGGTTTGCCTCATGGTGTGTCACCTATTAGAGGTTACCTCTCTCTGTACCTTGCCTGCTACTCTTTACAACACTGTGGCTATCATGACCCCTGTTTTAAACAGACATTTTCTTCAGCAGCTGGAGCATCCAGATGCTGCAGTCTGTCCAGCTGGCCATGGAGGCCAAGGGGCTGTGTCCATGCTCATTATCAGCTTGCTGCTGGCATATTTCTACATTGCTTCCTGATTTGGGGACCCATGGGAGCAGCGTTTTGTGGACTTGGAGTCCCCAACACAAGGACGTGGAGCTGCTAGAGCGGATCCAGAGGAGGGCCACGAGGATGATCCAAGGGCTGGAGCACCTCTGCTATGAAGACAGGCTGAGATAATTGGGGCTGTTCAGCCTGGAGAAGAGAAGGCTCTGGGGTGATCTTATTGCAGCCTTCCAGTACTTAAAGGGGGCCTACAAGAAACCTGGACACGGACTTTTTGCAAGGGCATGTAGTGATAGGACAAGGGGCAATGGCTTTAAACTGAAAGCAGGGAGATTTAGATTGGATATAAGGAAGAAATTTTTCACTCTGAGAGTGGTGAGGCACTGGAACAGGTTGCCCAGGGAGGTTGTGGATGTGTCATCCCTGGGGGTGTTCAAGGCCAGATTGGATGGGGCTTTGGGCAACCTGGTGTGATGGAGGGTTTCCCTGCCCATGGCAGGGGGGTTGGAACTGGATGATCTTTGAGGTCCTTTCCAACCCTAACCATTCCATGATTCTAGTCTTTCAAGCTGGTTTAGCCACTTGTTGATGCCACAGTGACTCTTCTACTACAGGGACTCGACTGCCAGGGATTTTCTGTCTCTCCTCAGAGGGGACAGGCTCCCTTTTACATAATGCAAGATAAACACTTCAGGTGACTCTGGAGATTTTTTAAAAACACCATGAGTGCAGTTTGCAAGACCATGAGCCTGGGACAAGTCATTAATGTTCTGAGCTGATTAACTTCTAGCATAGGTAGTGTGTACAGAGATGGACGGTAGCAAGGCTTTGTTGCTAGTATGTGTGACTATTTAACTTACCTCTTTCCTATTGTGGACAATCAAAAGGGAAGACTGGAATTAAACTTCTTGTAATAGGCATAGATAGTGCTTAAAGAAATGCTGATTTCCTGAAAGGATGGGTTTTACACATGAACGTGAAACCTAACTGAAAAAAAAGGTTTTATGTAACAATTCCTGACTAACTGACTTCGAAAATGCACAGTCACAGCCCTAAGGCTGAAAAATCCTCTTTACCACCCTCAACCTTCAAATCACTGCAAGAAAACACCATCAGAAAAAGAAAGGCTGGAGCCAGATCTTTGGAGTTAAGACACCTTTGCTAAATCTGGAATTGCTTGCTGAAATTTACTTGAAATTAGCTCTACAATTTCTCCACTCTCTCATTCATGTAAAGGACTACATTCATGGCTCCTGCCATGAATGAGTGACTTTAGTTGAGAGTACTGATCTCCTCTTTCTTCCAGCTCTATCCAGTTGCTAACATTTAAAAAAAAAAAAAAGTTGCTTACTCTGCCCAAGTGACTGCTGCCTGCTTCCAGGAGCACCACTACTGACTGGACCTGCCATTTGTACTGCTCAATGCTGGGGGGCTGGACTTTCAGGGTCCTGCTTACCCACCCAAGGAGAGTACTTGGTGCACTATCCATTTTCAGCAAGACTGTAAGAGCTTTAAAAAGTTTACATATTTGAAATTGGTTTGGAACTGCACAAAGGTTTGCACATCTCTCTATTCCTTGTTCACTCCATAAAAGTGGCGGTCGATTGGAAATCAGACCATCAAGGAAGAGGCAGAAAGGACCTGGGGGTGTTGGCTGACAGCCAGCTGAGTATGACCTGGCAGTGTGCCCAGGTGGCTAAAAATACCAATAGTATCCTGGCTTGTATCAGAAATAGTGTGGTCAGCTGAAGTAGGGAGCGATCGTCTCCCTCTACTCAGCAGTGGTGAGGCTGCACCTTGAATACTGTGCTCAGTTTTGGGCCACTCACTACAAGAAAGACATTGAGGTGCTGGAGCGTGTCCAAAGAAGGGCAACAAAGCCGGTGAAACGTCTAGAGCACAAGTCTTATGAGGGGCAACTGAGGGAACTGGGGTAGTTTAGTCTGGAGAAAAGGAGGCTGAGGGGACATCATATCACTCTCTACAGCTACTTGAAAAGTGGTTGCAGTGAGATGCGTTTTGGTCTCTTCTCCCATGTAAAGAGCACTAGGACAAGGAAATGGCCTCAAGTTGCACCAAGGAAGGTTTAGATGGGATATTAGGAAAGCGTTGTCAAGCATTGGAACAGGCCGTCCGGGAAAGTGATTGAGTCACCGTCCTTAGAGGTACTTAAAAGATGTTGTAGATGTGGTGCTTAGGGACATGGTTTAGTGTGGACTTGGTAGTGTTAGGTTAATGGTTGGACTCAATGATCTTCAAGGTCTTTTCCAATCTAAACAATTGTATGATCTTATGATTCTATAATACTGTCTATGGAAAGGGTAAGATGAGGAAAGGAGTACTACCGTGTTCAGCTGTTTGCTGTGTTGATAGGGTGAAGGTAGTAAAAATATTTCTGCTGGCTTGTTTTTTTCCATGTGGACAAAAGAGATTCTCTCTATATATCATATTTTATCATATAGAATACTCTTCATGATAAAAAAAGAGATTTGGGTCACTATGTTAAAATTCTCTATGGGTCAAATCTCCAATTCTGAAAAAGCATGTTGCAGTCAAGACAATCAGAGGGCTGTGTCTCCAGGTGTTGCTTTTATATACTTCTAACCTCATCTCAGGACAGGCTCCTTCAACTGCAGTGCATGGTAAAGACATGATGGGAGAAGAGGCCATTGCCGTTATAGTGTCTAAAGAAAAAGTGTAAGTGCAGTGACAATAGCTTTGAACGTTGCACATGGTCTTCAGTTATTGCATCCTGCATGGCCCTGAGAAGAACGTATCCTTAATAATTTGTAGTAACACATGGCTTCTAATTTATTGAATTCTTATTTCTGTTTAAAACAAACGGAAAAACTACATAATTAATCTCCTTGCAGTTCATGTTGTATCAGAGATGGCTGTGCTTTCAGAAGGATATTGACTCCTCCAAAGTGTTAAAGCATGTACTCCAGTGTTTAGGGAGAATGATTAGCCAAAGATAGTCTGCTTTCATTTCTGATAGCCTGATTAAGAGGAAAAGTACAGTCCCTACATAAAAGATCAGATTTCTTACGCTGAACGGGTGCTGTAGAGAAAAGAACAGCAAGTAACTTACCACATCAATTATCTGCAGCAAAGAAAGCTGGAGCTCGACTACAAGGGGTTGGGAGTCATTCACTACCGGTCGTTCAAGACGATTGTAGTTTCTCAGCAGTTCTCGGTACAAGCGTCTCTGGCTTTCGCCCTGCTGAGAGACTAGGGGAAAGAAAAGAAGGCATCTGTCATTTGGGCTGGTCACACTGTCTCCCTTGTTTGCCTGTTTTGTTGAACAAACCCTCTTAATAAGTTTGTAAATTGAAAGCGGTTCCCAGAAAATATCCCCAAAATTCTGCAGACTGATGTTGCAGGCACAGCTTTTCTGCATACGTAACTGATAAGCTCTTAAAAGACAGTAACTACTAGCACTCTAGCTCATCACTAACACCCAGAAACTACTGAACAGTCTTTGCAGCTCTGAGTAAATGACCCCCCTTCCTTGGTGCCCCTTCTGCTGATGGTCAGTGGAGATGTGGCTCCAAAAACACCACATAGTTTCCTGAAAGGCTGTCAGAGTGCTTTGCTTTGCTTGCTCTTATTTCCTAGAGACTCACCGCTGTAAGCCAGTGCTGGTATTACTTGGCCATATTGTGTTTGCCCAGCATGAGTAACAAGTATTCTTATTTCTTGGAGCTGATGTATCAGGCTCTTTTCTCAGGAAACAGTTAACAAGCCTTCTTCATACCCTCTTCAGTTTTGTGTGGCAGACTTTCCAGGCTTCGGGTTACTTCCCTTGCCTTTTTCCATCTGATGGCAGCACACTTTGTTAACACCTAATGAGGTGGTGGTATGAAGGCTTGAGTATTTGACAGGTAGGTATAATGATACTGAATTTCTAGTGTTACATGCTTAACTCAGCTTCCACTTGGAAAAATCTCAACATAGAAACTGTCATGCAAACACATGAGCATGTTGAAGACTAGCAGAATTTCAGTCTATGCTTAAATTGCAAGATGCCCCTGTTCCCCAGCTTTGGAGTGGGTGTGAAGAGCATCCATTAACCTGTGTGACCAGGCTTCCTTGTCACAACAACCACGGGTGGGCAGGGTAGCAGTGCTGGCTTGAGTCTCTACCCACAGGAAGGTAGAGACTGTCGTGGTTTAGCCCAGCCAGCAGCTCAGCAATCACTCCACCGCTCGCTCACTCCTCCCCCCGGCGGGACAGGAGGAGAAATCGGAAGAAACAGAGTAAAACATGTGGGTTGGGATAAGGACGATTTAACAGAATGGTGCAAAAGACCAAGAAAAGAGTAATAACAAAAATGATAAAAAGAGAGCAGTACCAAAGGAGCGGTACAAACGCTCACCGCGCTGACCGCAGAACTCGGAGCCCCCGGGCAGCCCAGCCCCTGGCGATCAACGACGATGCGAAAAGCCCCTCCCGCGGCGAGCTCCCTCGATTTATGGACTCGGGGCATGACGCATATGGTGTCAACAGCCCTATGACTCATTCCGGTCAGTTGCCCGTGCTGTGCCCCTCCCACTTTTCCGCTGGAAGATCGACTCTATCTCTGCCAAACCCAGGACACCGGGACCCACTGCCCAGGAGCTTGGATCGCCCAAAACAGTGTAGGTGTTGGTGGGCTGGAAAGTGGCAGCCTGAGCTCTACCGAAAAGCTGCATCTAACAGAGTGAGGGTCATGGGCTGCAGGTTCCCTAAGGCCAAACCAGTCCTGTCAGCATGAGTGCGTGTTCCCTGAACTGTAGAAATCCAATCTCTGGCAGGGAATCTGCACTCTAAATTATTATCACTTTGGACTGAAGCATTTTTTAGCCACTGCAGCTCCCAGTCTGTGTGCGTGACGTTTTTCAACTCTTGGGCAGAACTCTGCACATGGAGACCTGGACTGCTCTCACACTGGTTATGATAAACATCTTTTTGACAATGCAAACAAACAGTAACGACCAGTTTCGCCTTCTCCAGGCTCTTTCTGTACTTGGCAAACCTTTCAAGCCTGGAATAAGCTGCTGGCCAAAGAGCAGCTATGCCTTTTAAAGTTAATAATAAAGTTAGTTTACAAACAGTTTTCGAGTCTGTTTAATTTGTCTTTTCTTCACTTTTCCTGATACTAAACAGAGTAGTTTGTGGCTTCCCAGTGTGGCAGATCCTGGTCAACAACAAGGAAAAGTAATTTTTTTTATTTTGGTAAGTTATACCAATACATCAAGTTCATGGGTCCTCTCTGCTCTTGCATAATACATTACATAGTCATGGGGATCCAGAGGGGTAAATGCTGTAATAGCCTGCTGCTCTAATAGCCCTTGCTAACATGTCAGTATGGATGCTATGTTTTCACCATCAGCAAAGAAAAGCTCTGGCCACAGTATCTCTCCTTCACCAGCTTAAGTAAGCTTCCCTGCAAGGTGGTGATTTAGGCTCTCTGTTATGGCCTTAGTACTTGCTTTCCAGTGCCTCAGCAGACCTCAACTCCCTTATAAGATCTTTCTGTGGAAAGGAAACCAGTGAAAATTGCAACGCATTGTTCTATGGAAAAAGGCTCTGTGTTTTGAGCAAATTTGCTGCCCTTTCAGTCACCTGCCAACCCCACCACCACCACCTCTCCGTGTTCCTGTGCTTTAGGGAAGAAATGACTGCCTGCACTACCGTTCTCATCTTGAGTACTTATGTAATATTTGCCTTTAACCTTCCTTTCAAATTGGCTGCCTCAGCTTTTACAAGGCAAAAGTGCCCTTCACCAGCAGCTGGGCTGCTAGTGTCCTGCTGCCATCGCTGTCATGGTGCATTAAAGCAGCCCCCTCAAGGGAGGTCTGGCTTGGAGAGATCGGAGCATAACCCTTTGCTGTGTGCTTTGGAAAGCTGTGTTTGTACTGTGTGCTCCAACAACACTGAAGCTAGGCCAAAAGTTAAATTTCATGAGCTGAAGTAGCCCAGTACTGGAGTCTTGCACTTGGTTTTCCATTCTTTCTTTAACTCTCCCCTCTGTAAAGTAATCCTATTACTTTGCAACCTCTTGTACCCAAAATGGTTAACGTAGCGTTAGCTGATCTGTTCTTAGCCTGCTGAGTTCGCATTGGTGACCACATGTTTGTGTGCTGCATGGTTTTGCTTACAAAATTACATAGATTCAGAAGCAGTGAAGCCTTTGGGGTGTCCTGGCAAATAGCCATGGCAGCTGCTGGTACCACAAAGACCTGGCTAGTCTAATCACACTGTCATCTCAGCTACAGCTGCTTTGGGAAAGGAATCGAGGTGGATGACAAGTCAGACTTACATTTTCATGGACTTTTCCTTTGAATTATAATCTTCAAATACTTAACGTTACATACTCCAGAGAGATTTTTGCTTTTTTCCCCTCTAATGCTTGTGCTAATGCTTTGTGACACTACATCTCTGTGTGCTAGATGGAGTGTTTGCTGGTGATGAGGAAGCCTGGATCTCTCAGGAGCAATGCTAGAATAAGATTTACCACCACCTGCCTGTCAGACAAAGAAATCTAACCAAAAGCAGTGGCATTGTTTCATCTTTTAAACTAGGCTTGAAGGTAAATGTCTATTTAAAGTTGCCAAGTCAGACCCCGAAAAGCAATGCCAGACTTACTTGCCTATGTATGTAATAGGAAAGTACAAGTAACTGACTGTCCTGTTTTCAGCTGGGATAGAATTAATTTTCTTCTTAGTAGCTAGAATAGCGCTGTGTTTTTGATTTAGTATGGGATTTGGTATAAGAAGAACGTTGATAACATACTGATGTTTTTAGTTGTTGCTAAGAAATAAAGGACTTCTTAACTTCCCATGTGTCATGGTTTGATGTGGGGGGGAGGTCCGGGTGGCAGAAGCTGCCCATCAGACCGGACTCCCATCCCCCTCGGGGCTTGAGCCAATCGGCGCCTCTGCGAATTGCCCTATTTACGTCCGGACAAAGGAACCGGAAAGGTGTGCCTTTGCCCAGGAGCAGGAGAAGGGAGGGGGGCACGGTCCCTGCTCCCCGGCGCCCGGCCAGGGCCATCCACTGGGAATGGGGCCCCGACGGAGCTGCTTGGGGAACTTGGGGAGAGCCCCGCTCCCGGGGTGCCCATCGGGCCGAGTTCTCCCATAAAAGACTAAGATCTGAGAAACGGCCACAAGATTATCCAGGTCAGTGAAGATGGAACAGGACACGTGTGCCGCGGTTGAGTCCCCCTTGCAAGCGGCCCCTTGCAACCAGTCCTCGGTGGAGCAAGCAGAGACCCACTCACAGCCCATGGAGGACCCACGTCGAGAAGAGATGCCAGAGCCTGAGCACGGTGCATCTTGAGTCCGTGGGATGCCCCCGCCGATGGGGAGGGGTTTCGTTAAAGGAGATGCCCGAGCCGGAGCCTGCTGTGACACCCGGGCACAGGGCGAGGCCATTTGCGCATCTCAGTCCGTGCGGAGACGCATTTCGGGTCGCTGTGCCGCCCCACGCCGGGGCGCAGTTAAAGTCTGTGTGATGGCCCACGGCGGGGCGAGTGTCTACAGCTCCTTAAAAGCCCAGGGCTGGTAAAGCC